GATAAAGGGTAAATTGGGTCACACTGGGTGTGCCAATTTATTTGCAATATTTTTTCTCAAATACAAAAAATATATTGCAATCACATAATAAATAAAAAAGAATGACTTTATTCATAAAGATTGTGAGTACAAATATGCTTATCCGTTGATTCCTTTCTCTTAAGATTTCTCCGTGATTCAAGGGTTGTTAGTGTCACTCAAACTAAAGATGATGTGGACCTCCTTAGGATTTATTTGATCTCCGTGAAATGATTTTATGGATCTTGTTAAAACATTTGGTTGTCAAGAAGAGTGCACCCACATCTTGTTACTTTATGAATATATGAAATTTTAGAGATGCCTATTCAAGGAAATACATTACACTTTATATAAGTGTGAGCTTGAGTTTAGGGTAAGTAGTCTCCAAGAACCTTAAATGAAATTGGACTCATCTTGTAGAGTCCCGCATAATTTTGATGTATCACAAATGTCGAATTCTTGTCCCATGAATTTTTTTGGATCACATAGTTCACTTAACTGTCTTGTTGGATAGAGTTTTATTGTTTGATCGACTATTCCAGAAGAGGTCTTATGCTTAGAAATGTAGTATCTTTATAGAAGCCAGTATCAACAAAGATCACACTCTAGCAAAGGACTCAATAACATCTCCAAGCACATTTGGGAAAGTAGTTTCACTCTCCCATTCAAACGTGGACACAAGATCCAATTTCTCAAAATCCTCAACAGTACAAAATATCTGCCTTTGCAGATTTGGCGAGGCATGAAGAATGTGCTCATGCATGATTGTCTTAACTGCAGATTGAGCATAACATTCATCATTTACAAATGTAGACCGCAAATAAGTAATTAGTCTTGGAATCAGTCTCGAATATTTGAAATAAAGAAGTGTTGTAACAACATAATCTAGCACTACAACTCCAAGAAATTCCAAGTGCTAAAAGCATCAGGGAATATCAGGTAGCATGTAAGATCCGTGAGTTAGCGCTTTAACAAGCAGTAAAGGGTCGTGAAACATGTAATGTAGCAGTGATTTCCAAGTACCGTACATTGACTAGCTTCTCAGCATTCACGATGAAGTGCCTTAGCATAGGTGCATCAATAAAATCAATGTCCATCCCAATCCATTTCATAAATGATGAAGCTGTACTTTTCCCGCCTGAGCTGAGGTAGGCACCTATTAGTTCCTCAACCACATCAACTACTCTCTTGCTACTAATCTCTTACTTTACCCTACTACACATTTTTACTGAAGGCATCAAGAACTCTTTGCCAAAGTTGTAAACTTGAGAATTATCACTAGGAATGAGCCCCACTTTAAGATCGAATGGTTCATTACGGATAAATCTCATACTTTTACGAGCACATCCAAGCTTGAACAATGCAGCATTGTAAATGATTTTATTTTTCTTAATGTTGGGAAGACCCTCATAATGATTTTCATAAGACTTAAACAGTTGTATACTAATAGCATATTTGAGAAAAGAGTCTCCAAGTTTCCCAAGTGACTCCAAATGAAACTTCTGGAGGCATTTCTTTGTTGTCATTACTTCCAAAATCTTAGCAGTTGGGATACAAAGTTTTGTTTGTAGTGATTCAAAAGCATTCTTTTCAAGTTTATTCGGCAAGAATGCTTCCCCTATAAAGTCTAAAGGTTCTAGCACGACAGATAGATATTGGCAAAAGATTCTTGACCTCAAGAATCTTATGAATTCTAAGGTATACACGTATAGCAGTGAATCTGTTCTGGCGGAGTATGGGGATTCACTGCCATACATGTATACCTTAGAATTCATAAGATTCTTGAGGTCAAGAATCTTTCGCCAATAACTATCTGCCATGCTAGAACCTTTAGACTTTATAGGGGAAGCATTCATGCCGAATAAACTTGAAAAGAATGCTTTTGAATCACTGCAAACTAAAACTTTGTATAATGACAACAAAGAAATGCCTCCAGAAGTTTCATTTGGAATCACTTGGGAAACTTGGAGACTTTTTTCTCAAACATGCTATTAGTATACAATTGTTTAAGACTTAAGAAAATCATTATGAGGGTCTTTTCAGCATTAAGAAAAATAAAATCATTTCCAATGCTGCATTGTTCAAGCTTGGATGTGCTCGTAAAATTCTAAGATTTATCCGTAATGAACCATTCAATCTTAAAGTGGGGCTCATTCCTAGTGATAATTCTCAAGTTTACAACTTTGGCAAAGAGTTCTTGATCGCTTCAATAAAAATGTGTAGTAGGGTAAAGTAAGAGATTAGTAGCAAGAGAGTAGTTGATGTGGTTGAGGAACTAATAGGTGCCTACCTCAGCTCAGGCGGGAAAAGTACAGCTTCATCATTTATGAAATGGATTGGGATGGACATTGATTTTATTGATGCACCTATGCTAAGGCACTTCATCGTGAATGCTGAGAAGCTAGTCAATGTACGATACTTGGAAATCACTGCTACATTACAAATTTCACGACCCTTCACTGCTTGTTAAAGCACTAACTCACGGGTCTTACATGCTACCTGAGATTCCACGATGCTATTAGCACTTGGAATTTCTTGGAGATGTAGTGCTAGATTATGTTGTTACACACATATCTATTTCAAATATCCGATCTGACTCTATGATTAATTATTGATTTGAGGTATGCTTCTGTAAACAATGAATGATATGCTCAATCTGCAGTTAAGGCTGGCCTACACAAGCCCTTCTTCATGCCTCGCCAAATCTGCAAAGACAAATATGTTGTACTGTTGAGGATTTTTGAGAAATTAGATCTTGTGTCCACGTTCTGATGGGACGCTGAAACTACTTTCCCAAAGGTGCTTGGAGATGTTGTTGGTCCGTTGTTGGTTCGATTTTTGTTGATTCTAGCTTCGACAAAGATACTAATACATTTCTAAACATTAGACCTTTTCTAGAACCGTTGATTACACCTCAAACAATAAAACTCCAGCCAATAAGAGAGTTAAGTGAACTATGTGCCCAGAAAGGTTATTTTTAAAAAAATCAGTTTCTTCATGAGACAGAGACTCGACATTTGTAGTCTGTAGATATCAAAATTGTGTGGGACTCTACCAGATGAGACCAATTTCAGTTAGGATTCTTGAAGACTACTCCTAGCTCACACTATATAAAGGGTACTATATCAGGGATCTCAAAATTTCACAAATTCATGGAACATTTACAAAGAGATCAAGATGTGGGCGGACTTTCCGTGACAACAAAATACTTCATGAAATCCCACAAAATCCGCTTTACATGGAGATCAAATAAAATCTATTTTAGGTGCAAATTATCCTATAGAAGAATCAAGAAAGGGACAAACAATTTTTTGTGGTCGGAGTTTATTTTCCATATATAAGATTTGTTGCAAACAAATTTTGTCTCCAATAGCCCTAACTAAAATTTATAATTTATTTTGGGGTTTGATTAGTTTAATCGGAGTTGAAGAATTGGTCAGAATCCATTCAACATTGTAGAAAGCATTGAATGTTCATTGATCAAATCCTTCACTCAATAGTCAAATAGATTTTTTGAAGAAACTAATTAATCAGACGAGAGTAAAGATAAATCAAGTGCCTTTGGGGTCATCTCATACTTCATAAGTAGTATTTATCTCCAAAAAGAAAATTTTCTGAAGTTTAACTTAAAATAATGAGATTGACCTCAATTAGTGTAATTGACACTGTTCATTGATATATGATGTCACAATAACGATGTCACAATATCATTAAGTCTAATTTGATAAAATTGAGCATAACATACTCTTTTGCCATATATGGCACATGATATGAAAATGACATTGTATTTGAGATTAAAATGCATTGATTATGTATATGCATTTTCTGTTACTATTGAGTTGCACATGTATTGTATCCATAGAATCAGGGGCGAATTTAGGACGAGGTGAAGGTGTTCATCCGATTTTTCTTTTTTCTTTTTTTTTTATCAATTTTTGAATTGTGTTCCCTAATCTTTGTAGTTTGTTTATAGATGTTCCTTGACTATATTATCTATGCTATAAACTCTCGTTTTGGTCTATGAAAATGTGTTACTTATGAAATGTTTGAGTATACACAATGAGTAATCAGTCAATCGTTGTTGACAATTACTCATCTGTTATAAAATATTTGTCACATTTCATTTAATTATGAGAACTATCACTGTGGCTGGAGCTGATCCATCTCCTGGATATAACAATGGTATGTTGCTTGTAGATTTGTGCTTGTTTCTCATCTTTAATATTATTTTATTATCTTATAAAAACTAAGATGGTTTGGACATGCGAAGAGACGATGTGTAGACGACATACCAATGAGGAGGTGAGAGAGGTTGGTTATAGAGGGTGCGAGGAGAGGCAGAGGTAGACCGAAGAAGTATTGAAAAGAGGTGATAAGACATAATTTGATGCAACTTCATATCACCGAGGACATGACTTTAAATAGGAAACTGTGGAGGACACATATTAGGATAACAGGTTAGTAGGTAATGTAGGGATATCTTGCTTAAGGTGGTTGGTGTTTGCCATTGTATAGTTCTTGTTTTTGATATATAACATTGTTTATTCTTATTTTAAATAATCTATCTTAGTATACTGTTTATTGATTATCGCACTACAATGTTGTTGCCTCTGCACCCTTTCGATAGATTTTGCACTGTTTCCTTGTTACTTACTATCTTTTTTTTTTAGTTGAGCCAAAAGTCTTTAAGAAATAATCTTTTTACCTTCACGAGATAATGGTATGATAGACGTATATTCAATCCTCCTCATATTCCATTTGTAAAATTTCACTAATTACTAAACTATTTTTGTAATATGACAGTTCGGTACACTATTTGGATTCAAGAAAGTCAAAAGCAAAAGTCTATTGTAAGTCGTAATTTTATTCAATATTTATATCGAAAGTTATTTTCACAGCTCAAATTCGTGATTAACCCGAGTCCACAAGACCCGATGATAATCTCTGTATTGCCATTTGCCACCCTGTAGCCATTTTTCTCTTGCAGATTCAAATTCTCCCAGAAAAAAAAATCTCAAAAAGTTGATGTTTTTCTGAATAAATCAGCAAAATTTAAGGATGGAAAGTGGGTTTACTGCAGAAGATCTATCCAAGATCGGAGGTATTGCTACCGTATCACTGCTTCATTCCTTCATCCCAACTCATTGGTTGCCATTTTCCATTGTGGGTCGTGCTCAAAAATGGACTCTTTCAAGAACCCTTTTCGTCAGTTAGTACTCTCCTCCTCTCTTTTAATTGTATAATGTTTGTTTTAGTAAAGATCTTTGCACAATTTTGCAGAAAATGAGCTGAAAATTCGTAATGGGTGTTTGATTATGTGATTGAAATTGAGTTTTTTTGTTGATGGGAGTAATTTCTTTACCAATTAGCATGCCCCTTTGATTAATCTGCTAGAAGGAAGAAGAATTTGGGAGATTTTGAGAAATGGGTGAATTTTGATTATGTGGTAGGAATTGAGTGTTGTGTTGTGAGCTAAGGGTCTATTGGAAACAGTCTCTCTAAGGTAGGGGTAACGTTGTGTACACACTATCCTCTTCAGACCACACTTGTGGGGTCGTCTTGTTATTGTAATTGAGTGTTGTGTTGTGAGCTGAGGATATATTGGAAATAGCCTCTCTACTCTTACTAATAGGGGTAAGGTTGCGTATACAACGCCCTCCCCAGAACCCATTTGTGGCATTATACTGGGTACATTGTTGTTATAATTGAGTGTTGTGTTGCTGAGGTAGTTTCAATATGAACTTGCCCATTTCTTGATTAATCCACTGATGCTACATTCTGTAAGTAAAGGTGTTAGGAAAACTGCCTACAAAGCTTAACAAATAGATTCAAGTCTGAATGTTGTAGCAGGAATTTGAACCTAGATATCTTTAGGTTGTTAATCCTATGCCTCAACCACTCAGCTATTCTCTTGGCATAATGAATATAGAGTAGTCATATAGCGTAACTGAATTAGTTTGGGATTGAAGTGTAATAATTGTTGACAATGGGTTTTCATGGCTAGCATAAGAGACAATTGCGTTTAATTATGCTGATAAAAGACAATTGCGTAGAATTTATATCCTCTTATTGTATGCTTATTTGAAAATAGTGAATTTTTATAGGTAAAGTATCATTTGAGTTTCTCTGGCCAACTGCCTTTTTCTCCCATATTAAGAATTTTGAAGTCATTCAAGAATTCTATATGCCCTTTTCCCATTTGTTTTTGTGCTTTGGCCTCGTTGATATTTTAAAAGTTAAAATAATGTCTACTTAGGCCACAGATTTCTTGAAAATCCTTTTGGTAACTTTAATTTCCAAAATTTGTGTCTTGTAGTACCTCTCTTTGTAGTTTCCGAATACCTAAATTTCAACTTAACATTTAATTATTGATGGTTGAATTCAACCTTGAAGTTATTACATTAGGTCCTAATTATCGAATTAGATCATTCATTTTTTCACACTAAAACAAGTACTAAAAAGCAATTAAAATTCAGTTGAGATCCATTGAATTAAGTGATAATAACTGTTTTTGTCACTGCTGCCTACAGCTGCATTTGGAGCAGTATTGCACGTGTTATCCACCTCACTTCTTGGCATAACGGCAATAACAATATCAAACACAATTGCTGGGGAGGAAACAGTGCACAAACTGGCTTCCTTATTGCTTGTAGTTCTTGGTGGTAGTTATGTCATCTTGCATCTCTTTGGAAAGGGTGGTCATAGCCATTCACACAATCAACCAATGGAGAAGATGGCTGTGGCAGGTCTTATACTTGTTCCTGCATTGTCTCCTTGTGCAACCACTCTGCCTGTATTTCTTGCTGTTGGAAATTCGTCCTCCATGATGGTGCTTGCCATCATAGTTTTACTTTTCAGGTATTAGTTTGATTTTAAATTTTCATTGTACACTATGTAACTGTACTTCGAACCTTTCTGTTTTCGTACTTGTTCGTTTTCTAGACATAGATTAGTCTTGATATATTGCAATTATACATGGCCTTGTTTGAAAAAGGAAAGAGAAGGAATCAGGGGTTGGGGTTTAGCTGATGTGTACCTTGTACTGTAATCTTACTGGCAATTTTCTGGAGGGAACAGTTCTCTTTCCTGGAGTAAGCATAGTGAATAAGATAGTTTTAGAGGTATTTGGTGTTTTAACCAATACTTGGTATTATTCAAATCCAGTTGCATTTGCTGATAACCCTTCGACACAACATTATTTGGGCTCCATAGAATTATCTAATTGCATTTCTTTGGATGTATTTTGAGGTTTCGTAGACTGTCGGAAATGATTTTTTTAGACTTGCATTGCTACCTTCAAGACTGCCCCAGGGCTTTGGACAGTAATAAGGATGCAACACATGATGTGATAATTAGGTGCATATCATGGGTTCAAACCCTGTCAAAGATGAAACTTTGGTATTTAAGTTGGGACGATGGTAGAGAGACATGTTCATACTCCTAGGAGTTTCAAACTTGTGCACCAACTGGAGTCCGGACAGAAGCCCACAGTGGATTTCTCTGATATAAAAAAATTATAGCCTTTAAGACTGCTTCAATCTTTTGGTGGTCAGAATAGATGTAACTTTTGCCCTCTCACGACGAAAGCCAATTTCAAGCAGGTTGGATTCATGAACGTCTACATCCTAGGATTTGAAGAAATTAGTTTCTCTATTTGTGCACCTGTATTCTTTACTTCTTTTATATATCCGAATTTTTCATTGTGTAACATAAGTTGATACTTCATTTTGCAGCACTATTACTGTAATGACCTCATTGGTGGCTCTATCATTTTATGGTGCAAGTCAACTCAAGTTCCAATGGGTGGAACGCTACGATAAGCTCCTTGTTGGTTCTGTGCTGTGTTTGGTGGGCATTTTGACCCTTATTTTTCACGATCACGATGAAGTAGGTTCCTCAGGAGTCCATGTGCACAGAAAACTTAGTTTGCTGTAGGAGTTATTCTTCAGCCAGTGAATCTGTTATGTGAGGAAATACACGAACTTCCCCGTTTTTGTTATTATGCAATAGTGAGTGTTCAAATATGTTATCATTTCCCCCATATTCCAGACGCAGGGGTCGACTTTTCTGTATGAGGATTCACCATTTTCCAGTTGAGTAGTCTCGTCTTGCAACCAGCTCATGATGCTCTGGCATGGTAAAGCCAGCATGAGACTTTGGACAGTTGATTTTAATTTAGAGTTATGTTAAAATTTATTTCAAGATAGCAGTTTGAAGAGAATTTGTATTTTAAAGGATTATCCTTTGAACCCTTTTCACTGTAAATGTCAAGTGTACAATACTCGTCGAGGGAATAAACCGTTCTCTTCTTTATATAGTCTTTGGCAATCCTCACCTTAATAGAGCTTAACTTTACGGTTGTGTTAGATCCATGGTTCATTTTCTTTACGGTAAAGGCGGAAGAGAATACTGCGAGACTAACTCATTCCTATCTTGTAGACACCTGATGCTAACATGACACATAAATTTTGGAGATGTCTAGATGATCATTTGGTAAGTTTGAGTGTTCAATCGATTCGATAGAGATGAGGTTTCTAAATGGACATACTCAAAATTAGAGCATTTACTTGTCAACTAAGGCCAAGTTTGAATATATATTTATATATTATGCCTTTTTACAATTACTAACTTGAATCAATAGATAGTCGACCAAATCATGTTGTGCACATAAATCCCTAAAACTTGCAAGGGAAGTCCTATAAAGATCACCACGGGACGTTGTGATGGGATGAATGACATCCTTCACATCCTTGACTAGAGGAGGGCTCGAGTGACACAAATGGAGAAATCTATGATAGGAAGTAATTCTCCTATAATGAATTGTATGAATGAATTCAGATTAATCGAATCAATGAGTACTCAAACTAGAGGAAAATAAAACCAATGTTCAAATTTATTTATTGTTCAACTTCTCTATAAATGAATTCACTAGCATTTTTCAGTCTATAAAAATACAACCATTTTTTCTCAAACCAAAAGAGAAAAAAGTAGTAATACATAATTTCTACATTATGTTTTAGTATATAGTAGAGTAATAAACAAAAACTCAAATTTAAAATGTGATTAAAACTTTAAACACTCTACCAAAGCCTCACACTATAATCACAATCCTTAGACACCAATTTCGACTTAACGGTCAACGCATCCACCGTTACGTCACAGTTAACTTTAACGGTGATTTCCCAGGTCTTCACTGCCCCAATCTTAATCTTAACCGGCGCCTTAATATTCACTCTAAACGGCACTTTCCCTTTCGTCTGATCATTTCTTAACGTCGACTTAACGGCGTTTCCAAGTATAACGTTCGAACCTTTCAACACCGTTTGAAAAACAGTTACATTATTCGCCGGCTGATAAAACGCCGGTAATGCACCGGCGGAAAGATCCACGCCGGAGTAAACCACCGTAACTGAACTTCCTTTCCGATAGTAAATTCCTAATTTGTTGTTCGGATTTTCAGCTCTGACGGAAATGTCGAACTCAGGCGAGATTCTCGAAGATGCTGTGAAGTTGAAATTCTTAATCGCAATGCTGGAAATGGTGTACTTCGGTGCTTCAGGGCGGTACACAAGGTATAGAACTCCGGCGGTGATTCCGATTGATATAATAAGCAGAAGTAGAACGGAGAAAGTGAAGCAGAGACAACGACAGCAGCAGCTCCGGCGAGGCTTTCGTTTAGTAAGAGACTCATACCGGCGAGAATTCTCTGGTGGAGGATACTTGTAAATTTGATCCTTCGGAACTTGAACTACGTAAGTTCCCGCCGGTGGCTGTACAGGCTTCGCCGGCGATGGAAATGATGGTTTTTTCGGTGAAACTACTTCGCCGGAGTTGTTCGAGGACGGTGGATTGCTTGATGATGGTAAATCCATAGGATGTACTCGATCCGCCATCGTGCTACAAAATCTAATTGAATAGAATTCAAACTCGAGATCTCCAAATAAATACGAAGAATGTGAAGTTGAAACGAAAAAACGTGAAGAGCTGTAATACAGCAAAATGAAAATGGAAGTTTCAATAAGTGTGTGTGAGTTATGTGAATTTATATATGTATTTTTTTCGCCGTGTAATAAAAGAAAAACCGCGTTAGATGTAACGCGCAATATTAACGGCTATTTAACTAATAACAATTAATTTAATTTATTATTTTATTTATTTATGGAGGTTAGGTATTATATTTTTAATTTTTTTTTTGTTGGTACAGTTCAATATTAGTTGTAGAGCACAAATAAATTAACGCAAGTAATTAATTACAAAAGTAACCGTAAATACAGACATTCAAAATATATAAAAGGCATAAAAAAAATTGTGATTAAAGAAATGCCTTGTTCGACTCGTAAAATGTGAAAGATATTAGGTAAATTGAGATGAAATAATTACTAAATTTTTGTCAACATACTTGAAAGTGTCACTATACAAAAATGATTTTAGCAATAATTAATTAGCGATAATTAATTAACGAAAATAGTTTAATTGCCGCTAAATATGTTCTTTTAGAGGCAATCAACACACTTTATTTATGTCCCTAAAGTCTATAGTCAGATTGGATTCAGTGACAATTAACTGAATTCGGTAAAAGCTTTAGCACGATCTTTGTTAATGTAAATATTTATTGCCGCATTTTTCTCTTTAATGTGTGTGTTTTTGTTCAACAAAACGATCTCTTATAATCATTTACAAATTGAATAGAATAAAATGACATTTTCTGATCTTGTATATAAATGAAGTTTTTTTTATGTATAAAATTATAAAAAAATTACTAAAATTAAAAATAAATTTATAAAAGACTACAAAACCTCTTTTGTATATGTCCATACAAACAAATAAAGGTTACAAGTTGAAAGTCGTCGTGCCATAGGTATTATTAATTAATTATGAAGTACTCATTTATTAATATTGAATAAGACCAAATCTACATTATATATTATTAATAACGATCAGGCACGTTCTAACCCTATGTGTATATTTTATTGGTGTCATTATTATTTAGATATATATTGAACATAAAAAGAAATTACAGAAGCTACAAAGAAGCATCTAGCTGCTAGTATAATTATTTTAATCATTTAATTTGTGTAAAAGTAATTTGATGTTTAATTTGTAATTGTATTTAAAATGTGATTAGCTAGCTAGCTTGTTGGTTCCTACTAATTAATCTAGTTGTCATTATCTTATGACCTCATAGAGATGACTTAATTACCATTTAATTTCAAGTCAATTGCTATATATAGAGAGACTAAAAATTTAGACTATTTCTCTCTTTGTATGTAGAATTTATCAAACCTTTGGGAAAATTAATATTGGTGAGAGAGGAGTAAAGTAGACTGAGTAAAAGATTAATGAATAATTCAAACAAGAAACACAAGAAATAACTAATTTAACAAGAAAAGATAATTTTGAGGGTTTATTTTACCCAAAATTTGGAATATATCATAAATATACTTTGGTCATAATTTAGGGGATAGCTAACAATCTAGTGAAGAACTTCAAGAAAAATGGCAGAATATAAGTTAATTAGTTGGCCTTGCAATTTTTCTCTTTCTACTTTTTTTTTGGCGAATTTATATCACTAGATAGTGTTTAGTGGTGTTTTGTTAGAAAAAAAAACTCAATGATAAGTACAACCAAGGAGGGCTAGACCTTAACTTATCAAATCCTAATGAAGTATTGAACCTCTACTAATTAACAAGCATGATGAAAATAAGAACTAAAGAGAACTAGATATTTTATGATCAACACATAATTTATAATATTATACTATGATGCAGCTGAGGCGGACCTACATGTTAGGGTGAGGGTGCACGTGCACCCGTTAACTTCGAAAAAATGATGTATATATATCTAGAGAAATTAGCAGAAACTAGGATATAATTAATAGTGCACCCATGAGGAGCATAGGAGTGTCTTGTTGGTACTAGCTAAATCATTCACTCACAAGATCACTGTTTGAATCCATCTAGAGCCTTTTTGATTATTTTTATTTAAAGTTTAGCTTAGAGATCATATTTGGTGCACCCGAAGTGTTCAAATTTTGAATTCGCCTCTGCTATGATAATATTACAAATGAGGATGTTTAAATAATGCAAAATTATAAAAGTCAAGAAGAAAAGTTGAGTTTTCAAACTCTTTTTACCTATATTCGGTATTTATACAAATATAATCTAATAAATATATAATATATATATTCTTGCATTTCATGTTATCATTAATAAACCATAGTTAAGTAATACTTATTATCACCTCAATTTATCACTTAGAGATGATAAATTATTATGATTAGGTGTAAACATAGTCGCTAAATTTTATCATTGGCTCCATATTCGATTCTACATTAAGTTATTGGCATTATGCGATTAGAGGCAGATCTACGGTGGTTATTATAGATAAGCTCAATAGTTTTTATCATATTATGTATATGTATTAAGAAATTTATTAAAGTAATAAATATTTGATGGTAAGTCTTACTACTATCGTATATTAACTTAGAATTGATTTAGAAAATCATAAACTTTAAATCTTAAATCTGGTCCTGATGCATCCCTAGTTTCTCCAAATACCCTGGCCTAAACAAGTGTCATTTGCAAATGTTTAATTGGTTCATGCAAAAGTGAGAAAAAAAAAAACTCAAAAAAGAAGAAAGAACAAATCCATGCACATTTGCAACCTCATAATGAAAGAAAGAAAACAGATAGGATCAAAATTTAAGATAAAAACTTGAAGAAGAAAAGGAAAACATATTGTATGAAAATTGATTAGTTTGACTCTCGTACTCTGAATCAAGCCACATAAATAGAAATATATATAGGAATATAAAAGAGTATGAACATTGATTATTTTGACCCTCGTACTCTGAACCAAGCCACATAAATGGAAACATATATAGAAATATAAAAAAAGTATGAACATTAATTAGTTTGACCCTCGTACTCTGAATCAAGCCACATAAATTGAAACATATATAGGAATATAAAAGAGTATGAACATTAATTAGTTTGACCCATGAATTGAAACATAGGAATATAATTAATAGAAGAAATCAATTACCTCAGACACAAGATTTGCAAGTATGGATGAGAAAGCACACACCACAATTCTCTCCTTTTTGTTATTTCTTCTTTAATCTTATTGACACACTTAGAAAAGATATGTGATATGTCTTCTTGACTAAGCCTTCTTCAGAAGGAAGATTTGCACAAATAAGGGTAGTTAGGAATGAGTTGAATTTGTTTATTTATTAGAGGATAAGAGCACAAAAAGAAGAAAGAAAGAAAAGTAAGGAGAGGGACAATTATCTGAATTATGATACAGTCGTG